ACATTTTTTGATTGCAGCTTAGCTTGTGCAAGAGTCCTCACTGAACATCCTTAAAAGAGACGTTCCTCAGGCAGTTGCATGGGCAAATCTTTAATACACATCAAAAACCCTTCAAATCCTCCATCCTAAATTAACGCGGATGATGTATCTGAGCTCCTCATCGCGGTCCGGTGTCTGTCGTAACGGTTTAGTGATTGTTTAGCGCGCTACTAATGCTGTGACGATCTGTGAACATCGACGCTGAAATGTAGCCTAAATCTCAGTCACCATTTCGGCGTCACTTCCATTTGTACCTGGCTCTGACAGCCACGGAGCCTCAGCACCGGATCGTCCCGCGGTGGGGTTAGGGGGGTAGCTAAAGCCTCTCAAGCCCGTCCCTGCACGGTCCCTGTACTTATATTGTTTACAAGACATCATGATTCATATAAACTACAAGCTACAACAAGAATTAAATGCTCATTAGATTACTCTACATCTTATAAAAATTATATTTTCGTCTCACGTTAGAGATAATAGTAATTACAAATACACCTGTGACTAATTATTGGAATTTTTCCTCAATCGAGTAATACCAGGTACTTCCATTAAACTATTAGATCGAGATTTCTATAAAGATGATAGCTGATAAGTCGAAGGCCGAATCAACATATCACTACAGAGAAATGACGACCTAATGATCTTATTGCTTCAGTAAATTTTTGACTAAATTGCTTTCCAGAAGCAATTGACAGTTATTCTCGACATATTAAGAAGTTCTTAAGATCACGCTATAGCAAAAACGCTCGCGGATTGAATTGCTGTTTGAAACATGTGGCCTTTTACAAGCGCTCGTTAGCTTGTTTAATTTTTTGTGGTTTTAAGGTGGCATGGCGGTAAATTCCATTTCCTGAGTGTTTTTGGGAATCGAATTACCCAGTGATATTTGTAAATCTTTCTCGATACTGAAAGATCGGAGGAACGGGAAAACGCTGCCATTTTGTACACGAACTAATGCCACTGGTAAGATAAGGTAGGATAAGAACCTTTATTTTGGTGTCAAATGTATCTAGCCCTAGCGGACTAATTGGGGACACTAAACAAGAGCCTTATGTACTAGAAAGAAAATGCTAAAATAATTAAAATTGTTAAACTTATTTACGCAAGGGCCTTATAAAGTACTAATAATACTAAAATGATAAAAACTATTTAAATTATTTACGTACAATGTAATCTATTCACTGCAAAGTTTACAGTAATTACTGTTATTAGTAACATAATCTGATAAGTAAAGTTTTCTGATTTGTTTCGGAAAGTACTTAGAGTTAAGGCATCTCTTATATTCTTACTGAGTTTGTGCCATAACAAAAGGTCCTAAATATCTGCTTGTATGTTTATGATAATGTGTGGTATTGAAACATGGTATCACAAAACTACTGTTCTGTAGCAGATGCGTAGAAACTTTACGTACGAAAAGGGAGGACACGTTATCTGGTACAAGTCCTTTCTTAACCTTATACATGAGCACCGCAATATCTTGAAGGCGTCTATTATATATTAGTATAAATCTACTAGCGTTCTATCACGAGTGCTGTTCTCTGATTGGCCGCGCCACCCACTATCTATTTAACAATAAGATTATGAGCTCGAGATTTCTATCGCGTGATAGCGCCCTCGTCAACTATCACGCATAGAAATCAAGAGCTCATACATGTAATCTAATTGTTTTAGTATAAATCTACTAGTCGTTCAAAACTTTATCAAAATCCTCTTTACAAACACTTCGAAAACGTCCCGGGGGGTACTTCCAGATAAGTTGGGTGGGGGTGTGCGGCCCTCTTCCCAAAACCCTTACCCTATTTACGACCAAACTCTGCGATTTTTTGCTACCCTACTTATGACCTAACCAAAAACTCGATACCCTATTTATGACCGTTGTGGCTGGCACAGTTGCCCTGAACATAAGTTATGAAGGGCTTTTGTTGATGGTCTTATTGATAACGATGAAAAAGTAGCTTCTTCTAAGAAACAAACCCAATTCAAGACTAGAGTGCTAAAACCATACCTTATTTAAGACCAAAATGACCAAAATCGATACCCTATTTATGACCAAAACAGCTAAAAAACTCTACCCTTTGGGGCCGCACATACCTATATAGCCCATATAAGGGAGTACCCCGCCCCCCCTCGGGGTGCCAGACGTCTGTTCACAGAGAGTGCATTTGTTTTAAGTAGCCACTTCATCTTTCTTGAGTGCTACTTGGCCTACGTAAAACGCTTTTCCTGCAAGGAGAATTGCACTTAAATTAACACTGTTTGCTACTTTCTAAAGGCAACGTCATTAATCAATTTTGGCTAAGGTTTCATGCATGAAAACCCATTTGAAACGAGCACCATTTAAAATTCCATTGATATCTGGAAGCAGGAAACCCACCTCAAGACAAAAAGGTCGTAGTCAGTAAGACCATATTTCTGTGTTCTTTCTCATAATACTTCTGGATAAAACATGTCATCACGCAAGGTGAACCCTTTTTTAGTGCAGCGTTTTTCAATATTTTAGTAAATGAGGTTAGTAAACGGTTATTGGAGTTTTACTGTAAAATTTGCTTAGTTTTCTTACACAGAGGCGATGTGAATATTTCCACAGATTTTTTATTTAAACCTTAATGATTATTGTTACATTTCTTAGACTTCAAAAGAATCAAGACCAAAGGCGAAAAAAGAAAATTAGATTCAGCTAAGGTTTCCATCAAACAAGTTCCAGCTTGTACGAGCATTCTTGTCAGCGGTCTTTCAGAAAACACTACCCATGATGCCATT